CTATGACTTCCCCACCCTGACGCCACTGGAAACCCGGATACACTAAAGCACGACGTTGTCACCAAAGTGCGTGATATTCCGTCCTCAACCTGCTCGCCTCGGGCGTCAGGAAGGAGGAAAGTGCAGCCAATCCGTGCCCCCGGCCTGCCCGGGTCCGTGTCTAACCCTTAGGGAGGTGCAGCCCTAGATCAGGCCCCTCCGGCGCCCTAGGCCAAGCGGCTGGCTATGCTATTGGGTCAAGGCTCTAACCCAGGTTCTTAACTCCCTCGGGGGCCTCAGGCTCCATTTGCATTTGAAGGAGGTGCTGCCTCCCACCCGGTCTTCCTGTCAGCTCCCTGCTGTGCAGCCTGAGAGGGTGCTGTGGCGTGTTAGTGCTCTGGGGACCGTTTCAGCACTACAATGCGGCTATAAAAGCTTTTGTAACGTCTGCAGGTTTCGCTCAAACTCGCATTGTGTGCCAAATCCTAAGGCCCCTCTCAGGCCAGCTGATCTCGGAGAAGAGGAAGTCAGGACAGCAAGCAGGACCTCAGTGCAGGCTGCTGGGGACGGGCAGGGTCGGGACTCAGCGCCCGGCCTGAAGGGAGGCTTCGGAGTCTCCCCACCCCACCCCACCCCACCGGGGGTTTGGCTTCCGGTTGGAACTGCCTGGGTCTGGGCGGCCCTGCCCATCGCTCATCTCCCCTCGATATGTTCATGCCTCACAGGGGGCTCTGAGCGGAGGAAGGCGCTGCTGGCTTCCTGGTGTCTTGTTTCGCCAGGAGTGGCCGGGAGCTCTGCTGCGGGTCTTGGAAAACCTGCATCTCTCTTTCTCGACATTTAACCTAAAGGTGAAAGGGCCTTTCAGAGCAGAAGGCAGCGAGCATTTACTGGAAACCAGCAAGGCAGGAGCCCAGACACTGTCCGCTGAGACAGACACAGGAATTGGGGGGGGAGGGGGCACGGGAAGGGGAACAGACCCACCGCAGGCGTCGCTCTCCGTTCAGAAAGTTAGCAGTAACCCCAGTACCAAACACTGGTCTCTTCAGTCTGGCGCCCATTGCTGTCAAGAACATTTGCTTTCTTTCCTCTTCAAACAGTATTTGGGATACAATGTGGCCCTAGGTTAAGTCCAAAGGTAACTTTGCTGCAGCCCTTCAAGGTCTGAGGTATAAGGAACTCCAAATCCATTTTAGTTTTGGATTTCGTTAAAACGGGCCAGTGAGAGGACAGCTGTGGCTCTAAAACCATTATAGGAATGAATGAGGGGGCCAGGAAGATAGGTTCAGGGGGTTCGCCTGGGTGCGTTTGTGGGGGGACCCTCCACCCCTAAAGTAGGTCCCTTTATACTTATTCACAAACTACACCACACATTTAGGGCAGTCTTTACTCTTGAAAACATTTCTTACATTTGCCTCCATTATAAATACTAAAAACATACCAGGCAAAGAAATGTCAATGAACCGCACCACTTAAGAAGTTTGACATTACCGCCAAAATTAGTGAAGTCTCTTCTCAGCAAGAGTCCCAAGTTTTCCGGGCCTTGGAATCCACCAGGGTCCTGATTATGGCTTTTCTCAGTTGTCAGGTTTTCTGTTTTCTAACGTGAGAGTCACGTACCCCTAATCAGTAGGTAAGGGTCTCACCTCTGAAAACCTTCAAAGTATTTTGTGCCTGAGCCTCTCCCCCCCAACCCCCCCATATTTGAAGCATATGCTTACAGCTCTATCATGACAACTGAGTGGCTCTGAAAAGAGCCTTTGGGGTCGGGAGCCGGGCCGCGGCGCCTCACTTGGAGCTGGTGTACTTGGTGACGGCCTTGGTGCCCTCGGACACGGCGTGCTTGGCCAGCTCGCCGGGCAGCAGCAGGCGCACGGCCGTCTGGATCTCGCGGGACGTGATGGTGGAGCGCTTGTTGTAGTGCGCCAGGCGCGACGCCTCGCTCGCGATGCGCTCGAAGATGTCGTTGACGAACGAGTTCATGATGCCCATGGCCTTGGACGAGATGCCGGTGTCGGGGTGCACCTGCTTGAGCACCTTGTACACGTACACCGAGTAGCTCTCCTTGCGGCTGCGCTTGCGCTTCTTGCCGTCCTTCTTCTGCGCCTTGGTCACCGCCTTCTTGGAGCCCTTCTTCGGGGCGGGCGCGGACTTGGCGGGTTCGGGCATATCGGGAGCTGGGTGGAGGTCGGTAGGAGAAATAGTAAAGACGAGGCACGCTGTGTTCTATTTATATACAACCTCGCATGCAAATCAGGTGATGAACCAAAGTCCTGTGTCTGTTGGTTATTGGAGAGCAATCTACAAACTTAGCTCTGCCCAATCAGAGCGCCAGAATTCCAAATTGCACTTTCACTGGTTAAGATGTAGCTGAAACCCTAACCAATGACACATCTGCTTTTTCGCGCCACAAACGTTTATAAAAAGTGCCGCCGGAGCACTTTCCCTTTCGCAGCCACTTGCGGAGAAATTTGTAGTCAGCATGTTGGAAAGCAGGGTGGAAAGCAGGGCGGCAAGGCGCGCGCCAAGGCCAAGCCGCGGTCCTTGTGGGCCGGGCTGCAGTTCCCCATGGGCCGCGTGCACCGCCTGCTCCGCAAGGAGCGGGGCGGGGCGGGCCCGTGAACCTGGCGGCCGTGCTGGCGTACCTCACGGCCGAGATCCTGGAGCTGGCGGGCAACGCGGCCCGCGAGAAGAAGACCATCCAGGCCGTGCTGCTGCCCAAGAAGACCGAGAGCCACCACAAGGCCAAGTAAGGAGAAAGCAGGTTAGGAACCTGGACGACAAAGGCTCTTTTCAGAGCTACTTACACTTTCGGAAAACGCTGAGCGGGTGACGTCCTATTCTTACAGCAGGCGACTCCATTTTAGCGTTTTGTTCCAATGAAAGTGACAGTTTGACTTTTAGATTGAAAATAGGCGGGAGTTCCTGAGACCCATGTTGGTAAATCCGTGGCCCTGTGTCTTTGGGACACCTGTGTGCGTGTCCCGAATTCCCAGCAGGTGAGGCTGCAACAAGGAATGCAACCTTGGGAGTCACCTGCATGGGAACCCAGGTGGGGAAGACAAACAGGCCCAAGGTGGCTTCTTAGATCGGGAATAAGTAGAGGTAAATGCTGTAAGCAAAGGAGCTACATGACCAGAGTCCTACCTAATCTGAGAAAAGGAGTGAGCCCAGCAGATGTTAGGGGAAGAGGACTCCAAAGAGTGAAAATGCCAAGGCCTGCGTGTGGCCCTTCTTGGGAACAGTCCATTGTGATGCACATCAGCGAGCTGGACAAGGCGCCTAGCGAGCCAATTCATTGGGAGTCATTTTATTGCACACAGGTTCAGAGCAGATGACTTCTGTCAAATTCTGAACCCTCAACAGCGGAAGCATTCTCTCTCTGTTTTTATTTTTTTTTTTTTAGGTCTTTCTGTAAGTTATTTTTACAGACAATTTGTAACCTTGAATACATATATCTAACAAACACCTGTAACCTTCAGTATCATATCTACAGGCACCTGGCATCAATGTCAGCGTATCAGTTAGATGGCTGGTGTGCAAGGTCAGACAATTAAGTTTATCTTTTCTATTCAAGGAAGAAAAAACAAACAGTTATTTTACAGTCTAAAAATAACAGTTGGCCTACAGAATAAGAGACTGTTTGAGAATAACAGTAGTTCAAACAGCAGTTTTCCAAAGGAGGGATTACTATGCTCCACCATGAGGCTCTGAAGTAAAAGGTGGGTGTGGGGGTGAAATGGGACCATAAATATAGAACTTTGTGGTTTTGTAAATCATGCACAAGTGTTTAGCCCGGTCAGTGTGGCTCTGTGGTAGAGCATCGACCTGTGAACCAGGAGGTCCTGGTTTTATTCCAGGTCAGGGCACAAGCCCAGGTTGCGGGCTCGATCCCCAGTGTGGGGCATGCAGGAGGCAGCTGATCAGTGATTCTCTCTGGTCATTGATGCTTCTGTCTTTCCCTTCCTCTCTCGAACCAATAAATATTGAATAAAGTAAAAACAACATTAATCCTGAATACATTTGATAATACAAATTAGCTATGGAAAGCAACCTACTTTTTTTAAAAGAGACACCATAGAAATAGTATTAATGTTAGCATGTGGTTTACAACCTGAAAGATTTGAGAAGAAATGGTTTGTAATTCAATACATAGATTTGTTTGTTGCTTGTCTTTGCAGAAAGCATGTTGAGTAAAATGGTAACAGCATACAACAGCCCCTCCACCCACAAAAACATGGCGATGTAATGAGGCAAGTTGGTCCATGGAAGCAGGTGCTGAGACGGATTTGAAGTGGAAAATGATTATCAGGTCCCCATATCTGCAGGGAGGAGAGTGTCACGCTGACACAGGCCAGGTAAACGTGGGGAGCTCTGGGGCCCCCACATTAGCTCAGTATCCCTGGATCAGCCCTTACCTCCCACGTTGCCAATTGGATGTGGGAAGGACGGAGGGCAGGAGCCGTCTGCACTTGGCCAGCGAGTCTTTCCTTCAGGGAGCAGTCTGGGCACTGCATTCACAACCCTGAAATGGGTGCCTTACTAGTAACATGAATAGAAAGAGCAACATGGTGCCCTAGCCGGTTTGTCTCAGTGGATAGCTCCTCCACCTGCAGACTTTATGTTCTAGATCGATCCCCAATAGGGGATGTACAGGAGTCAGCTGATCCATGGTTCTCTCTCATCATTGATGTTTCTATATCTCTTCCTAACCCTCTGAAATCAATAAAAACATATGTATATTAAAGATCAACATGGAGCAATGTCTATATTGGCCCTTTACTGTAAAAAAAATTTTTTTTTAAATTGATTTCGGAGAGAGAAACATAATAATGAGAGAATCATGGATGGGCTGTCTCTTTCATGCCCCACACTGGGGATCAAGCCCACAACCTGGACATGTGCCCTGACCGGGAATGGAACTGTGATCTCCCTCCTAGAACAAAGATCTCTGAGCCATGCAGGTGATTTGAAAAACAAAACAACCCCCAGTTTGCCTTCAAGGGGGGAAGGGTTGTGGTCACTGGTCCCACTGGGGATCAAACCCAGGACCTTCTGTGTGTAAAGCAGATGTGCTAACCACTGCACTATGGAACCACTCAGGGTGGTTGTGAGTCAAGGAATGTTTATAATTCACTCAAAGCTAAATATGGCAGGGGGTTGGGGTTTTTTGGTGCTAAATTCCATTTCCCGTGCATCCCACTAGCGTAAGTTTGAAATATCTTCAAATAGAGTCATTGTAAACTCATGAGGAAAATGATCTAAAACCACATTCTTGACCCTGTGATCACATCTCTGTCCAGGATTATGTATTGTGAGCATCTGCAACTGTCAAGGTGTTTCCGACGGCGGAGCTGCCTCTTACGTAGCGCGGCCTGCACAACCCAGAGCAGACACTAGATGCGAGGCCAGTGGTCCCCGTAAGCAGAAGCCACAGCTCCCGGGACCGCCCTTCATACGGCTGGTCAGCACAGGCCAATGGAGGACCGCTCACTGAGTTATGCGTAAGATATTTGTGCATCAAGATGCGAGGGAGCCCGGCTGGGTTGCTCAGTGGTTGAGCCTCTGCCTACGAGCCAGGAGATCACAGTTTGATTTTCGGTCAGGGCACATGCCCTGATATCTGGCTTGATCCTTAAGTAGGGGTTGTGCAGGATAATTCATCATTGATGTTTCTCTCTCTCCCTCTCCCTTCATCTCTTAAATCAATAAAAATATATTAAGAGAGAGAGAGAGAGAAAGATGGGAGGGAATTAAAAAGAGGATGCCACCCCAAAATACATGTGCCTCTGGCATTTTGATTATTTCGAATGCAAGGCACTTGAAAACAACAGATTTAAAAAAAAAAGGCATCCTGTGCAATTACATAAAACTGAGGTTTACATAACAAGGTGAGGTGATGCTACATGAGCGCCCTCACGTCCGGACACCCTCAATGAACCAAAACTTTGGGCACTAGAAGAAACAGCTCCAAAAGAATGTCCCATAGGAACCGGACGTGTATCTAGGTCTCCAGATGGATCGATGTCTCGAAGGTGAAAAAGAAAACTGTGGGAACCCCTTCCACATCCCACGTGATTCAGGGTTCTGGTTCCAGGTTTGGGTTTTGGAGAAGGCTGCACACAAAGGAAAAGAGACTAGAAAAGCATTAATTTGGGAAATGGGGGCCAGGTGGTAGTCCAACTCTAGTGGGAGGACTACTCGCACTGGTTTTCCATCCCTTTTATTAAGATTAGAATTATAGGATACATCCCTATCCCCTAGGCAGGAAACTCCAATAAAAGCCAATCAGTGAATTTAGGACTAACAGGTGGGGGCTGCTTCAATTACCATTGTCTAGTAATTAGCTCTGACCCTATTAAGGTTGACCAACCCTATGAGTTCCCTGTCCACAGCTCTCTGTTATTAAAACAATGACTGGCTTCCAGAAGAAAACCTATACATTCTTTTGGGAGAATATTCATCATCTAGTAACAGAGAAAGACCTGTTAAGCCTAACCTCAAAAATGCCTGTCCTATTCCAGCCGGCTTGGCTCAGTGGGTAGAGCATGGGCCCGTCACAGGTTTGATTCTGGTCAAGGGCACAGGCCTGGCTTGGCTCAATGCCCAGAAGGGGACTGCAGGAGGCAGCCAATCAATGATTCTATCACATCATTGATGTTTCTAGCTCTCTTCCTCTTTTTTCCTCTCTGAAGTCAATAACTTTTTTTAAAAAAAGTTCTGATCACAGCAACAACAAAGAAATACAACTCCTAAGTGGGAGGGGAGACAAATTATTAACAAAATTAGGTTCCTGCCATTAAGTTTCTCCACCGACAAAGTTGACAGGACATAACGGCAGACACTATTGCAAGGTCTAAAACTCCCAGCAGATGAATAACCACCGTGAAAAGACACCAGCCTTCATTTTTGTATGGTCCTCATTTTTAAAGTAACGCTAACTATGGGTGATATCTCAAATGTATTCAATGGTATTATTCTTCAGGGGATATCTTCTTTCAAAAAAAGAACATCAACCTCAATAAGAACACGGACAAACGATAAGCATGCATGTGCATAAACCACAACTCGATGGCTGAACCGACGCCCCAAGTCTGTAAAGAACATGGATGCAAACCTTAAAAAGCAATGGTGAGACCCTTCGCTCCCACACCCTGGATTAGGAAGGGGAAGCTGGGTACTGAAAGCCGGCGGGACACGCAGAGCCGGGGAACACACAGGGACTGAGCAGCCTCCTGCTCCCGCCTGCATGTCACAATGCAGTCCTCACGTACATAAGGGAAGTTAGCGGGGGCTGGAGGGGGTCACCGTAGCATTGAGACTGGAGGCCCAGCCAGTACATCCCTGGGCGGAGGCAGGATAGACCTGCGCGCCCGCCACCAGCCTGCGCGCAGCGCCAGAAGCAAGACTTGGAGTCCACAGGGCAACTGGGATGGATGTTAAAGCCACAATGTTTCTCTGAAAGACAAAAGAATAGATCTTTAGCAAATGTATCTTATGTGTAACCAAAACAAAAATGTCAGCTTTGTATAAAAACCCAAAAAAACAAAACGTGATCAACATGACGCGCCATCAACCAAGGGGCAAGGATGCTTGCTTCTGGGGGAGGCAGGGGCTGCGGAGCGGGACCCCCGGGCCCAGGCCCTCCGCCGTCTCCCAGCCTGAGGGCCGGAACCAGGTCGGCACTAGGAGCAGGACGAGCCCGGGCCCTCAGCGCTTCGCCCCACGCAGGTCCTCGGAGGCCCAGGCGGGCTCCGGCGAGGCGAGGCAGAGGCTGCGGGTCCCCACCCCGCACCCCGGAGTCACCGGCTCCGCCTCCTTTTCCGCCGGGGGGGGGGGGGGGGGGGGGAGGGGGGCGGGGCGGCCCTCCATTCCCTGACCCAGCGGAATCGGTTTGGGCATTACTCGTTCGTCTGGGGTTCGGAAACCAAATAGCAAACACTTGCTCTCTTGGTCTCCCTCTAGAATCAGATTCTACGGAAGAAGTCTGTTCTGCTTGCTGTTCTAGCTCCAGGACCTAGAAAAGTCCCTGAAATTCAGGAGTGGCTCCGCGTTTGTGGACAAAACGATTGACGAAGACACAAATTTAAAATGTGCTGCAATCTCCAGGACTTCCTCTAGATGGCGATAGACGCCATGAAATGGGAATTTCATTTCCATTTTAAATAATTTTTTAAAATCCATTGCAGTACAGAATGCATTTTTTAAAATTGTTGATGTTTCTGCTTTAGAACTGATTCAGAAGTGCCGACAGTCATAAAATCTCTGTCATAAAATCAGGTGGGTCTGGCAAATCATTACATTTCACAGAAAAAGTTACAAATATGATATAACTGAACATTTAGCTAAAAGGGGGCCCTGTGGCTTAGCTGGTCAAAGCGCCTGTCTAGTAAACAGGAGATCCTGGGTTCGAATCCCAGCGGGGCCTTCTTATTTGGTTTTGTATTTTCAATAGTGTACATACCATTAAATAAGTTACAGAGGCATTGAGGCATTTATACAGCTGATTGGGCCTGTATTGAATTATTTCAATTGCAAAAGGTCTCTTAACAGATGTTTGCATCACTGTATGAGGGATTGGCATGAAGATAAAAATGAATGAGGTTGCTGTAGTTGATAGAAAACCATGGGTTCCAAAGACAAGGAAAGTAACGGCAAAAATAAATGAATGGGAGTACCTCAAACTAAACCACTTCTGCACAGAAAAAGAAACCATCAACAAAGCAAAGCGTAAAGGCAAACAACTAAATGGGAGAAGATATTTGCAAACAATTCCTCAGATGATAAGCTAATGCCCAAAATATATGAAGAACTCATACCCTTCTTCTGTGTATGCACATAAAAAATAAATAAAAAACATTCATAAAGATGTATATATCCCTATGTTCAATGCAGCATTATTCACAGTGGCCAAGACATAGAAACTGAAGTATCCTTCGATGGATGGTTGGATAAAGAAGATGTGGTACATATATACAATGGACTACTACTCAGTCATAACAAGAATGAAATACTGCCTTTTGTGACAACATGGGTGTGTATTTTTTAATTTGAGAGAGAGAGGAAGGGAGAGGGAGAAAGAGAAAAACATTGATGCAAAAGAGAAACGTTAATCATTAAGATGATCAAGCTGAGCAAAATAAGTCACCAGAAAAGGACAAGGATCATATACTTTCACTCATGTGGCATCTAAAACATAAAGCAACACATGGCCAAACAAAACAAACCCACAGACAAAGACAACAGATGGTGGTTGCCAGAGGGAAAGGGGCCAGGGTAGGATAAAGAGGGTGAGGAGGTCAAATATATGGTGATGGAAGGAGACTAGACTTCAAGTGGTGAGTACACAATGCAGTGTACACGTGATATAGAATTGTACACCTGAGACTTATATAATGTATTAACCAATGTCACCCCAGTGTACTTAATTTCATTTAAAAATGAAAACAACAAAGTAATGGGTTCGCTGGTGATTGGTAAAACTGGAATATGAACTGGGCAATAATCATTTAGAGTTCTGTCTTGAAAGTTCAGTCTTGGGTCTCTTAACCTGTGACAGCCAGCATTGGTAGCTACTAAAAAATGAGAATTCAGCCCAGTAAATGTAAAGATTTAACTGACTTTATTGAAGTCAGCATCCCCTCCAGTACATAGAAAGGCGCTTCAAGTTGTACAAAATGGAAGGTTTTGTAGGCAGAATGAGGATGGGACAAGGAAAGTAAAAGAGTGGGTTATTTCAAGTCATGTCACCCTGCCTTAGGGAAGGCAGATGACCTCACTAATGCTGACCGGGAAACTCCAGACTGATTGGTGTGAAATCCCTCTCCTGGGAGAGGCCAAACTGCTGATAGGCATTAAGCCTTGATGGGGCTCAGCACTAGAGGCTCCATTTAGGGCCTGTTGTTCTTTTCTAACACAGGCCAATAATGGAGTCTGGTTGCTGGTATGCAAAGAATTAATAAGCTAAATGTAACATTTGGTGTGGAGTCAGTCTCATTTTTATTTTGAGAACAAGTAAGAGAACACTGGCAAAATTTATACTCTTTGGGGTCATATTTCTGAGTGCAAGAGGGAAATTAGAGATCAAATTGTGTTTGTGGGCACCAGATAGTAACATTTCACAAGCACAGCTTACAGAGGCATCTGAGGAAACAAGATAACAATGAGGAATCCTCATTATGTCTACAGGTATTTTGTCTAATTAGACATTTTGAGGAAATAAATCACAAATAGATTATCACATTCTTTTTAATTAAATCTTTATTGAAAATATTATATATGTTCTCCTTTCCCCCCATTAACTCTGTCTATCCCACCTCTCCCCTCCCCCCCACCCTGGTCCTTCACCACCCTATTGTCTGTGTTCATGGGTTATGCATATATGTATACAGGTCGTTGGTTAATCTCTTCCCACTACCCACCCCTTAATCTGCCACCGGTGGATTTTATATAGCTTCCTTAGGTTTTCTCCTCTGATTCTAATTACCCAATATAAACTGAATGGCATAACTACTATTAGCTAAAGCATTTTCTCAATCCTTTGAGATTTTGCTTCCAGGTCCAGCCCTCAACTTTGGCTCAAATAAACTCTTTAAAACATTCTTTAGGTTTGGAATTAATTTCATCAACATAAACAAACAATGAAACAAACAAAAAGGCTTCAAGCAAAAGGATAACCATTTAAAAATAAAACATCTGGTAGTTCATTAAATTGCCTTGTTATTTAAGGCGACAGAAATGTGGTTTTTACTGATTTATCTATTTATTTACATCCTAGAACTAGTAGAACAGGATTGCATCTCAAGAGTGATCCTCCCTATGTCTGCAGGTGCTTTGTCTAAAACGTATGTTGGGTTGGCTATTTCCTTGTTGGCGTGCCCAGAAACAACCCAGGTTCCTTGTTAGCAGCGTTATGTTTGTTCTGCAGTCTGACTCTCACCCGCTATTGCGCTGTAGAGAATTATGGGCAATAAATTAATGACAATCGCTTAAAATCTTGTCATCTGGGCCCATAGACAACGGGGCAGTGAGGGCAGGGTGGGTGGGTGGAGCAGTCAATGGGGGGAAAAGGGGACACATGTAATATTTTCAACAAGTAATTATTTAAAATAAAATAAAAAATCTTGTGTCATCTGTACAGTTATTATGTTACAGAGTTCCCGAACAATCAAACAATGCAGGAGGAGAGTTTGGAGAGCCTCACTTTATTCATCGCGCGATGGGCTTAGAGAAAATGAATTCAAATTCTAAGCAAGGCTACAAGCAGAACTTCCCTTTTTATTAAAGGGCCAGCCCTATGCGCATTTAGTGGTTATCTCGATGCTGGCCTTGAAAACAATACAGTTCTATCCAATTAAAAAATGCACTTGGCATGGCATTGAGATTATGGGCATATCTAGTCTCCAGCCTACAAGGTCATACAGCTAAGTTTATCTTCATCATTATTCAAGCAGGCTAAAGCAGACTAGAAGGCAAACATTTTTAGAATAAAAGGCCATCTAAAAAAAACAGCAGAAGATTCTAAACAGCAGTTTTTTGTTTTTGTTTTTTACAAAATACGGCTTTTACTTCTCAATTTTACTCCCCAGCTTCGCTGAGGGCCTGTGCAGCGAGCACCGGGCTGAGAGCGTCCCGGAAAGCGGTCCCAGCAGCTGCTCCTGGGCCCAGGCCTCGTGCAATGGGGGGCCAGGGGCCCCGAATTCCTGTCTGTGCTTCGCCGGCGCCGCCTCGAGCGGGTCTCTGTCCCTCCGGAGTGTGCGGAGCCCCGGTTCCTGGCCGAGGCATCTCGGACGGGGGCTCAGTGTCTGGGTGTCGGGTCCGCAGAGCCCGAGCTGGAGAAGCAGACGAGGGCTGGGCGGGCGGGGCGAGGCCGGGCTTCCCTGTCCCCACCGCGCCCGCCGCTGACTCACACGCACGCGCGGGAGGGGAGGGTCACAGGTCGCTGCGGGCTGAGGCTCCAGAGAAACAAAGCAAAACACCAAACCAGCCTGGGAGGCCTGAGCTGCAGCCCCGCCCCCTGGGCATGCGGGTCAGGCCTCTCAAGCTCTTACACCCCCTCTAGCCCCCCCCCCCACTCCACCCCCTGCACCCCGCGCCGAGCTAGGGATGCTCCGGTCCCCGGTCCCCTCCCCCTGGATGCTCTCTCCATCCTAACGCCCCTGTGTTGTTCTCAGACACAAACAAATCAAAAGAAACCGGACGAACCTTATCACCCAGAAGCGGTGACCTGAGCAATGTCGGTAACCGGATGTGAGCAGAGTCCACGACCAGGCAGATATAAAAATTAGAAGGAAAAAAGGAAGTAGCAGCTGGCCCGTACGGGGATCGAACCCGCGACCTTGGCGTTATTAGCACCACGCTCTAACCAACTGAGCTAACCGGCCCCACAGCGAAAGGTCCCTCACTAAGCCCTTGTATAGTCACAGGAGACTCCGTCAGTGCGTTCTTCTATCACAAACGGTTAAAAAATATTCTCTTTCCTACAAAGGGAAAGGAATCATCCGAGATGCGGGCGCAGAGGAACGTGCTCCCCCCGGGAAACAATCGCTCTAACGGACCGAGAAAGCTCGCGGAGGCGCGGGTCCGGCGCTGCAGTGCGGAGCGTCCGACACGGGGTGGCGCCCGAGTGCGGCGGGGGGCGGTCCACGGGGCCGGGGGACAGTGCAACCTTGTCTGAGCCCGAGACCCCATCCGGCTCCCAGGAACAAGGACCCCCAAACCCACGACCATCGGCCTCCAGGTCAGCGCTGCTGTCTGAACCGGGAGGAACGCCGAGGTGGCCAGGAAGAGGCTCCTCCCAACCGAGCCTGACGGGTGTCTCGGGGGCGGGGCCGCGCAGCCCTCCTCCCGGCGTCGACTCTGCTCCCTCTTCTCCGTGGGCCCTGCTGGCTCCCCGGTCTGCTCTGCTTCCCTGCACCTCGCTGCGTCTGCAGGGAACGGACCCACTCCGTGCAGCTGCCTGGGTGCTGGGCGCCCTTAGGCGCTGACACTGAGGCTCCTTCAGAGCTTCCCGAGGGGCGCGTATCTCCACCTCCGCTTGGCCGAGCCTCTTGGGTTGACATCTCCCCGGCTTTGCGTCATTTTGGAGATTTGTGCGGAACGCCAGCGACTCCGCGGATGTCTTAGGGTAACGCTTGCTTTCCAAAAAGGAGAAAGCGTACGAACTCTGAGGTCTGTAACTTACAGATGTTGAAATGGCATTTCGGGGAAAAAACTATGTTTCCGCCCGGTTTCGAACCGGGGACCTTTCGCGTGTGAGGCGAACGTGATAACCACTACACTACGGAAACAGCTACCTGGTGCCGGTGGTACCCCTCCCACCCAGAACAGAGGAGACTGCCTGACAGGCCTGGGTTTGCCACAGCCTTTATAGAAAATACACATTGTTGTGGATTTCCCCCCCTCCCTTTTTTTTAAATTTTTATTTCAAATTTATAAAGACAAAAAACTTATAACCAAGAAAAGGCTTGACCCAGGGCTCCGAATATTATACAAATTCCAGGCACTAAAAGCTAAGAAAGCATCCTGGAGAATTTTTGTGTGTGAATTAATGATATTCTTCCCTTCCCTCTGCGCCCCAGTTTTATTGAGCTATAATCTACACATAGCACTGTATAAGTGATCCCGAGTTCAAGGACAAAGTGCGAGCCACGAGGAGGTGAGCCACACATAAGAATTGCATCCTAAAAGAAGCCGGGCAAGTTTGAGTAGGAGTGAATCTTACGTGTATAGAATCAAAGTGGAAAGAATATAAAGTTGAATGAAATCAAATTCACTGACGTGGTCTTACCAGGCAGAGATACTTGATTTTAATATTTTAACTCAAGGGCCTGGGGACATCTCTAAGTTTTTATTAATTAATAATTATAATAATTAATTGGCTATAATTAAGAATAATTTTTAAAAGAATAATTAATTATATTTTAATTACAATTAAGAATATAGTTATATCAATAAAAAGTTTCCAAATTTTAATCACTCTAAAAATAACTGATTGCATAATGCAAAAGTAGTATAAACATGCGGTAAAGTTATAGTGCACATGGAAGCGAAGTGTGACAATAACACAAACATAAGAGTGAGTAAACTCCTCACTTACACAGGACCAGCATGGTCTTATTTGAAGGCAGACATTAATTGTAGCTGTATATTAAGAAGTCCTAGGGAAAGCACTAAAAATTGTTTTAAAAGACATAAATGTTAAAGCGATAGTGGAGGAAAAAAATCTAAATCATGAAAAAAGCTCATATATTTCAAGAACAGGAGAAAAGACTTAAAAAGAAACAAAAGGACACAGAAAACAACTTGGGTTTTAATACAGAGATATCAGTAACTATGTCATACTGTATGTCAATTACCTAAACCCATCAATTATAGACAGCCATTGGAAGGACTAAATTCTCAACTACAAACTGCGCTAGTATTGCTCAAGGAATTCATCCTCTCCCCCACATAAAATGCCTCCCCCACATAAAACTCCTATTACGACCAACCTACCGGGAGTGGGGTTCGAACCCACGCGGACATACGTCCATTGGATCTTAAGTCCAACGCCTTAACCACTCGGCCATCCCGGTGACAGGAAGGGGCTTTTGGGTTCAGTATTACCAAGTTAGTACTAATTAGAACTGCTAGTTCCTGGAAGATTGTGAATAATACGTTTGTAAAGCTGCTTGCCCCTTAGACAACAGAGAACAACATCCGGTGCCCTCGTCCCCCAGGTGGTCAAAAGAAAGGGAGCCCCACCTGCTCCGGGAAGAGGGCCCTGGAGGAACCGGTTCCCCGCAGGCGCAGGAGAGCTCGGCTGAGGACCAATCTCCAACAGCACCAGTGCACGTGGTGACTTCTGTGGGCTTGTTTCAAAAGGTAAGGATGCTTGGAACATTCTTCACACAATATCGGCCCTTTCTATTCATTGACGCCGAAGCCAAGAGGCCTTTGGATGGAAATGGAAATTGTCATGTTCGTCTTGGAGCAGTTGATTCTTCCTCACCCAACACCTTCAAGTTAAATCTAAGTTCCTGCAGCGGAGGGTCTCCCTGAGCCCCCGGCCCCGGCCTATGCATGTCACTGATTCTCCGTGACGTGGATTTCCACGAAGAGAAGGAAGGAGGCCAAGCTCTGGTTCACCCCCAGAACGGCGCTCTCAGACCCACTCCCGCTCTGCGCGAGCTTCGCCCCAGGGCAGGCACCAGCCCTCCATTCTGCGGCCCTTCCCCCGCCTCAGGTGTGTTTACGACACAGCACTCCCCCCCAGCAAGTATTTCCTGCCCCAGAAGACTGGAAGGTACGCCCGGCTTCTGGGAGAAGTCCCTGTGACTTTCACTCCGTGCATCAGCCTGATGGTAACTAAGTCATTACCTACAAACTTACAATGACCATCAGCATGGCGAATTTGGGAACAAGCACTTTTTCTCTACTCGGTGCATCCGGGGGGAGGGGGGTGTTGAGGAGGGGGGTGGTCAGCCTTAGACCCTAGTGGAAGGCAGGTGGCCTGTCCCTAGAAAGGACGGTGATTTGGGGCCCTGGAGATGGGGTGTTTCACCAAGAAGAGTCAGGTGAGCCACAGAGGTCACCTGCTGTGGGACGTTGTGGGACATAAGACACGAGTGCACACGTCCCAGGAGGGGACCTGAGACAGAACCGAACAGAAAAGTGTGACGTCGGATGGACCGACTCGAGGTCCCTCCCCCCACTCCTCGCAGGCACACCGGGTCCCGGTCACCCCCTCCCCAGGTCCTCTGAGCTCGGCCAGCTTCTACAAGGTAATTACAGTCACCAAGAGATGGGGTCAGGGGAATGCGCGCAGAGCATGCCAAGATAATTCTTGAAATTTCCCAGGCGCCTGAGGTCCTCAGTCTGGTGTGCGGACTGTCGCGGAGTGATCAGCTCTGATGCTGTGGCTGCCAAGGATCTGGGTGTGGAAGGAAATCAGTGTCTGAACAACAGCAACCAAAAAGAAAAACGACAAGACAAATAATAATAATAACAATAACTTCATGGAAAGGGTAAAGTCAAAGTTAATTCTTACTTATTCCGAAATGTAAAGGGGTAGCAGCAGGTTAGTTTCCGTAGTGTAGTGGTTATCACGTTCGCCTAACACGCGAAAGGTCCCCGGTTCGAAATCGGGCGGAAACATTTGGTTCTCATACCTTTTCTGGAATTTTACAGTGAAGACACTCTACATGGCAAGTTTTAAAATAGAGCTCACCATAAAAAATAAAAAATAAAACTCACCACGCATAACTACTTATCTCTAAATTGATGCACAAAGTTCAAAATAAAAATCATATTTTAATAACCAGTTATGAACTTCATACATTCCGGGGCCTTTCTCCAACTGTGCCACATTACCTGGGCCATAACTCACCCCTCAGCCTGTCCTTAACGCCAACATTACTTGGATACGAAAGAAGAAAGAAGAAAAAGAGAGAGAGAGAGAAAGAGAGAGAGAGAGAGAGAGAGGAGAAGGGGAGGAGAGGGAGGAAGGAAGGAAGGAAGGAAGGAAGGAAGGAAGGAAGGAAGGAAGGAAGGAAGGAAGGAAGGAAGGAAGGAAGGAAGGAAGGAAGGGAAAAAAGGGGAAAAAATATGGATGTGTGTGGTGGTGATGGTTTTAAACATAAGAAGTACCTCTGTCGACAGCTGAAAAGGCAGCAGGTGAGGAGACAAGCAGGTGGATGAAGCCTATACACACATCGCACCTCCGGGGCCACCCCTACTGGTGTATTCGCATCCTCTTTACTAAAATTTCTATGTGAAGGCTTTATGCCACTTTTTCCTAAAATCAGGTTTTTCTTTTTGTCCCCCCGCTTCCTTTGAAGAAGGGGACAAAGTGTGTTGGTGTCACTGCTGAAGATTAAGAAGTGAAGTCCACGTTTAATCCCAATCTTACCTCGGGGAGCCTGCTTCCCACGTGTGAGGTGACTGTAGCAACATTAGATAGCCGCAGCAAAACTATGTTGAAGGAAAAGAAAACCTCTGTGGCCCGTACGGGGATCGAACCCGCGACCTTGGCGTTATTAGCACCACGCTCTAACCAACTGAGCTAACCGGCCAGTTGTGGGGGAGGAGAAGCTCTTTTTACTTGGAGGAATAAAAAGTTTGCTGACATTCTTGCACATCTAAAACTAAAGGATGTCTCCTCTTTTCAAAGCAGACTTTCTTGTTTAACTCGTTTTAACGACGACTGAAGGGCAAGAAGGGGAGACAAGCTCAACGAAGGGAAACTGAGGGACAGGGCAAAGGAGACCAGAGGACGAGAGGGGAGAAAACCAGGAACGGCAGGAAGACACTGGATATCCAGGTGCGGCTTCCCTAGCCTCTGGACACAGACGCGGGCGTCCCTGCCCCGCGTAGGTGGATCCTACCGACGCTTGACCGGTCCCAGGAAAGGCGTCTGCAAAGAAGCCCGAGCTCCGCGGCTATAACCCTCCAGGCAGCTCTGGGGCCGGATGAGGATGCCGAGCGCTTCTCGCAGAGGACCCGGCAGCATGGCCCTGGTCCCTGCCCTGTGGCTGGGCCCTCTGCTCATGGCTTCCCTTGGGGGGACCTCAGCTCCAGGTAGGAGAAGCCTGGGGTTCAGGCGGGGGCTCCGAAGGGGGCTCGGCTGAACGCTGTCCCCTCTGGGCCCCGCAGCCTCTCTCCTTAGGCGCCTCAGAGAGCACATTCAGCGTTTTCAGGAGAGCTCTGCCCTGGGCCTGAGTCTGGATCCGGGGGTGGCGGCCCTCCCTAGAGAGGGGTGGCTGGAGCAGCCCCTGGACCCCTTCAATGCGTCTGACAGGAGGTCCTTCCTACAGGTGAGGTCGGGATTGGGGGAGCCCACGGTCTACCCTGCCCTCTCCTTCCCTCCATACTCCGTCCCTCAGCCTCTGCGCTCTCTCTCTCTCTCTCTCTCTCTCTCTCTCTCTCTCTCTCTCTCTCTCTCTCTCTCTCTCTCTCTCTGTCTCCATCCTCTCCATGTCCTTCAGAATAAACGCTAGAACTACCACCAGTCTGGATGTGTAGCAGAGACTTGGACTGACTTTGGAATCAGCCCTGGCTCACAACTTGACAATATCTCCTAAATGAATGAGCAAACTCACCCTTTTTCACACCTACTCTGTATGCAGCCTTCAAAGGTCTTCTCACCTTGGTGCTATTCCCAACCTGCCTGCATGTGTTACTTTTCTACAGTTAACATAGAGCAGGTGCCTCCCACGTGCTCGCCACTATGCTTGGGCATGGGATATAAGAGATAAAAATTTGCCTAAAATATCTGCTCTTATAGGTCTTACATTCTAGGTGAGAAGACAACAGGAGGGCAATGACCCCATAAACAAGCCTGTTTCCAACACTACTAAGTATAGGAAGAACGATCCCCTAGGGAGAAAGACGGGGAGGAACGGGGACTAGAGAAGGGAGGTCAGAACGCTCACAATCCCATTTCTTCTTCCACATCCCACCACTCAGCGGTACTGGATAAACGACCAGCACTGGGCCAGCCGGGATGGACCCGTTTTCCTGCATCTGGGAGGCGAGGGCAGCTTTGATCCTGGCTCAGTGATGAGAGGTGAGGAGCAAGAGTGGGAGAGACGTAGCTGGGGAGCCCAGGGAGGGCTGAGAGAGCTTCACCCACCTCACACGCCCCTTCCTCCCTCTTTACAGGGCATCCTGCAGCCCTGGCCCCAGCCTTGGGGGCCCTGGTGATAGGCCTGGAACACAGGTTTTATGGCCTGAGCATACCTGCTGGGGGCCTCACCATGCCCCAACTCCGCTTCCTGTCCAGCCGCCATGCGTATGTTGGGATAGGGAAAGTGTTTGGGGTCAAGGGACTAGAGATGTCTCCCCTGCCTGACGTTGACCTTGAGTCTTTGGTTCATGGTTGTTGTTTTTCTGTCTTTCGGTGTCTTATTCTCTTTCCATCTCTGGGTCTCTCCCTCTCCATCTCTTTCTCATACATTGTCTTCTCTCACCCTCACTCTGATGACTGGTCCACATGACCTGGTCTCCTCTCGAAGAACACAGCCTCCTCACTGGCCTCCACTGCTGCCCTTGACCTCTTCAGTCCATTCTCCAGATGAAGCCAGAGTGGTTGGTAGGTTGTAATCCGGACCACCACGCTCCCTACCTCAAAGCCCTCACATCTGTCATCTCATCACAGTAAGGTCCTATCTTCACAGTGGCCGTGAGGTTTGACTGGCTCTGGCTTGGTCACTCTCTGACCTGCACTTCCTCCCACTCATAGGGCTCCAGCTGCACGGCCATCCTTGCTGTTCCCCAGACATACAGGCTCAGCTGTGGAGAGCCTCTGAACCCTCCCCCTGGGCTCCCCAGATGTTGCATATTTCCCCTCCCCTCCTTTAGGGCACCCTACTCATACTAGCAACACCCTTCCCTAACCCCTCACCTCCTCTATTCTCCACACACTTGCCTGGAATCCTCTCCTTTGCCTTTCTCTATCTTACTCTTGTCCATCTGTCTGTCTCTCTGCATCTCTTTGCCTCTGTGTTACTCCCTAGCTTCCAATCCTTCCACAAACTTACCTGGTTTCTAACTGCAGTGGGATGGCCCTGGCTGCAAACTGGTTCGGGAAGGTTAGGGAGGGAAGGGAGCACCTGGAAAAGAGTATGTTAGACGTGTCCCAGCGTGGCTTTCCCGCTTTGTCTCCCCTGCCCCCAGTACTCTCACCCCTCTGCCCTGAACCCTCCTCTGCCTGAGGAACTCTTTCTTCTCCATTTGTCTGGTTCCTGCCCAAACTGCCTTGAGGTTTTTCCTCTCCCACGTAATATGGAAGGAGAGGAGGGTGGAGGCTTTCCCAAGGGTCTCCCCTGGCCTGGCCACGTCCGGAAACTGGTGTGTGGATGAAGCCTTCAGAAATACTTCCCGAGAAAGGAGCCCCGGCTTCTAGCCAGACACCCACTGCCCCGTCCGGCCCCGCCTGCACAGAGGGGTGTCCCAGGGATTGCCGAGGTGACCGACCGGCCTCCTCTTGACCCCAGGCTGGCCGACGTGGTCTCCGCCCGCCTCGCGCTCTCCCGCCGCCACAACGTCTCCTCTTCCAGCCCCTGGGTCTGCTTCGGAGGCTCCTATGCCGGCTCCCTGGCCGCCTGGGCGCGGCTGAAGGTCCCGGGACCCCTCTGGGGGTGGGGTGGACTCGGGGTCCCACCTCAGGGGATAGGAACACCCTCTCCCCACACCCGCTCCCTACAGAAGGGCTTTCCACAGCCGGCTCCCCAAGGGCCCGGCGCACAGAGGGGCTCGCCTGGGGCCACGCGAGGCGTGCGTAGCACAGGGCGGAAGGTTGGGGGTCCCAGCCCCGTCCGCCTGACAACCTCTCCCCACCAGTTCCCGCATCTCCTCTTCGCCGCGGTCGCCTCCTCGGCCCCGGTGCGGGCCGTGCTGGATTTCTCCGCGTACAACAAGGTGAGGCCACGGGCGGGCCCCGGGAGGAGCGGGGTCTCAGCCATCGGGTCCCTGATGCGCCTCTTCTCCCGCGGTCGGGCCACAGGTGGTGTCCAGGAGCCTCACGAACACTGCCATCGGCGGGTCTCTGGAAGTAGGAGGGACCCGTCCTGGGGGCTGCAGAGGGGAGGCGGCCTTCAAAGTGGGGCCAGAGGGAAAATGCAGCCAGCTCGGTGGCGGGGTCCGGGGAGGTGGGACCCCCAGAGATGCACGGACCCTAGGAGGCTGGCGCTGAGGACCCGCCAGGACCTCGGGAGGGAGGAGCTCCAACGAAGGCGAGACCGGTGTGGGCGGGGCCCGAGGAGAGTGGACCTATCAAGGGGTGAAGCTAAGTGTGGGCGGGGCCCGAGGAGAGTGGACCTATCAGGGGGTGAGGCTCAGTATGGGCGGGGCCCGAGGAGAGTGGACCTATCAAGGGGTGAAGCTAAGTGTGGGCGGGGCCAGAGGAGAGTGGACCTAACAAGGTGTGAGGCTCAGTATGGCCCCCCCCCCAGGAGAATGGACCTATCAGGGGGTAAGGCTCAGTGTGGGCGGGGCCAGAGGAGGGTGAACCGATCAGAAGGTAAGGTTCAGTGTGGGCATTCGGGAACTCAGGAGGATGCTGGTCCTGGAAGAGACAGGCCGGGTCCAGGCGATGGTCTCCGCCGACGCAGCCTTTCTTCCCTGCAGTGCCGGGCGGCGGTGTCCACGGCCTTCGCGGAGGTGGAGCGACGGTTGCACGTGGGAGATGAGGCCCGTAAAGCCCTGAAGGCTGAGCTGGGTGCCTGCTCGTCCCTGGGCCGCTCGGAGGACCGGGCGGAGCTGCTGGGGGCGCTGCAGGCGCTGGTGGGGGGCGCAGTGCAGTATAACGGGCAGGCGGGGACGCCGCTGAGCGTGCGGCAGCTCTGCGGACTCCTGCTCGAGGGCAAGCCCTACCGCGGGCTGCGTCGGGCGGTGCAGGTGAGCTCCCCGTAGCACGGTGGGAAAGTCCTAGACAAGGTCCCCACCTCCGCTGTGCAGCCTTGCACAGCCGTGCACCACTGCTGAGCCTCATGTTCTTCACCTGTCAATGAGGATGGCTCAGGGCCCAGTGAGGTGAAATAAGGGGCTTGTCACGGGCTCACACACGATGCAGATTAGCACCGAGGCTGTCTGTTTTGTCTGCCTTGTTTTGTCTTGTTCTCGGGCCTGCACAGGGTCTGGCACACAGCAAGTGCCAATTAGCATTTAGACTATAGGTAGCCCCGAGGACAGCATTCTTCTGAAGCCAGAGTCTCCACCTTCGGAAGCCACAGCTGCGATCCCGGTGTTACTTATACAGCGCTGTGTGCACGGAGAGCTGTGTGAAGTGTTTTGCGTGAATTATTTCCATGAATTCTCACAGTAGTTCTAGGAGACAGGCCCTGTTATGATCCCCACTTACAGAGGGAGAAACTGAGGCCCAAGACTATATCACTCACCCCAGGTCTCACAGGTAATAAGGTCCAAGTCATCTAGGACCTGAACCTCTTACCCACAGGGACCCAGGCGCCTACCCATTCTGACCACTGAGTCCAAGGAGAACTTAGGCACTCTTTCTTCTGACTTCTCAAGTTTGGCTTTTAGGGGCCTATGCTGCCAGACCCTGGCTTGCAGGAGAAAGGGAGACTCTATGCATGTGTGTGTGTATATATTGTCCCCCAGGTTGTCATGCACAGCCTGGGCCAGAGATGTTTAAGCTTCTCCCAAGCAGAGACATTGGCACAGCTGAAGGTCACAGAACCCCAAGTGTCCGGTGTGGGTGACCGGCAGTGGTTGTATCAGACATGTACTGAGTTCGGCTTCTGTGAGTACCTGACTCAACCCTCCTCTGATAACCTTTAAAAAAAATCTATTCAAGTGATAGGTGTTAGGCAAAAAGCATTTACTTGAGATCAATAAGAATAACTATAATATATGAGAAGCACTGATTCAGGCAGAAACTTAAATAGTTTTCCAATTAAGAGACAAAGGCAATGGCTTTTTATGAGAAAGGAAAGGGAACAAATTACATCAAGAGAAGGAAGGCATTTCTTTCTACTGGTACAGATAAGCTGACATAGTAAATAAGCATTCTAAACAACATTTTAATTTTCAGCCCATCACAGCCCTATTGTTCTGGGCCATCTCTGTCTGGGTGTGGGAGGTGCCTCTTTGACAGGGCTGTGAATCAATTGGTCATTGTTGGGAAGAGCTCAGTAATTAACTAAAGGAGGCTGGGGAGTTGGGTTTACACCCCACACTCATAGATATCCCCCTCCACAGATGTCACCTGTGAAGACCCCACATGTCCTTTCTCCAAACTCCCAGCACTGCCCTCCCAGCTGGAGCTGTGTGAGCAGGTGTTTGGGCTTTCAACCTCATCCATAGTCCAGGCTGTGGCTCAGACGAACTCCTACTATGGTGGCCAGACCCCAGTGGCCACCCAGGTGCTGTTCGTGAATGGTGAGTGTGCCATCCGAACCTGACCTCAAAGTCTCCACCAGGCCCCAGTTTGGCACACCATTTCCCCTTTCTTCCCAGGGGATTCGGACCCCTGGCATGTGCTGAGTGTAACACAGGCTTTGGGACCCTCCGTGTCAGCCCTTCTCATCCCCAATGCCTCTCACTGCTTGGATATGGCACCTGAGCGGCCCTCAGACACCCCCAGCCTCCGCCTAGGGCGCCAGGTAAGACAACAACAACAAAAAGCCCTGGGTAATTTACATTTTCATTTGCATACTAATTTGCATGCTCCTGCCCTCACTAATACTAGGATCTGACTTTCAAAATCCTCCCACCTCTTTACAGAGCATCTTGCAGCAGCTGCAGACCTGGCTCAAGCTGGCAAAGAAGAGCTTGGTTAGGGGTGAGGTCTGAGCACCGCACCCTCGCCACTCCCTGCTGCCGACCTCAGACCACGACATATTGTTCACTGGACAGGAGAAAGCAGCTTGTTTAAGAAGAGGAAATTCCCAAGAATTGGCATTCAGCATCTGTTCCGAGTATAACTGACTTGTGTATGCAACTATCCTCACTCCCAGCTAAAATGGCTCTGTTACAGACAAGAAGTTCTGCAAATATAACTGGGTGTTTACTCTCATTGTGGATGTCAGTATTTCAATGGCAAATGTCAGGGAAATGTCACTGTTCATGCTGGTGCCCTCCCCCCACTAATCTAAGTCTGATGCTCACATTCTGCTCTGCCGCCAGGCGGGCGCCTTCTGCTCATCCCTCTCTGGCCCCTGGGCCCTGCCCTACCTGCTTTTGCTCTGCTCATTAAAAGGCATTCTTAAGAAATGGAAAGACAAGTGAAAGAGTGAGTGAAAACCTGCATAATACATATATCTGACAAAGGACTTGGGTCTAGATTATTTAAGGAAATCCCAGAAGCCAATAATAAAAAGATGAGTGAATGACAAATGGGCAAAGCACTTGAATAAGCACTTCAATTTTAAAAATACCTGCATAAAAACAAAGAAAAAATACACGTGTGGTCAATAAGTACATGAAAAAGATGTCCAACCTGATTAGTCATTAGAGAAATGTGAATTAAAACCACAGTATTACCTTACACCCAACTGAATTACAAGCAAATAAAACAAACCCCCTAAAAGTTCAAAAGATGAGGATGTCACCCTGCCTAGTTTTGGAGAATTTTTAACTCGGGTTTTGAGTTACATTTGATTATGAGTCAGAATTTCCATATTTTTATTTTAACAAATAATGCGAGGGGGGAAAATGCACTGTGAATGAAAACATACCAAAAGAAAAATCATTCAAAAGTATTAGTTTTGGGGACACCCAGGAAATAAGTATGTGACTCTGATATATCTTGTAAAGCAAGCATTCAGCATGGTGTTTCGATAGTGGAGTGGTTATCACATTCACCTGACACGCGGAAGGTCCCAGGTGGAAACAACTCTTGCTCAAGGTCTTTTGTATTTGCATCTCTCCTCTAAATGCCTAAGCCTTTGAGGTTTCCAAAAAGTCCTCCTCAGAGGAGCACCGCTGAGATCCATGTCCTCATGTTTTAATGCTTATTTATGTTGTCAATCTGGGAATTTATCCAGAGAATTTCTAAGAATCACAACTCCAACTCCACCAAATTATATTTAAAAATCAGATCCTTCCCTCTTAGCATTGCACTTTAGCGATTTTTTGTCATCTGGATCCAAGACCTTTTATGGTATGTGGATAGATGGCAGATGATTGATAGATAAATAATGGATAAGTAGATGGACAATAGATAGTGGATGATAGATAACAGATGGATAGATCCTAGAGAGACAGTTGATGATGAATAGGTTTGACAGATAGGAGATAAAGAAAAAAGGAGCCAGTTTAGCTCAATGGATAGAGCGTCGGCTTGGGGACTGAAGGGATCCAGGTTTGATTCCGGTCAAGGGCATGTACCTTGGTTGCAGGCATATCCCCAGTAGGGGGTGTGCAAGAGGCAACTGATCGATCTGTACAAAATCAATAAAATATATTTTTCCTCTCTGTACAAAATCAATAAAATATATTTAAAAAAAGAAAAAAGAAAAAAGGAAGACCTAAGGACGACCTTCATCACCAAGCAGAGGCATTTCAGGTGCATGCACCAGAGCCCAACCCTCGACTCCAAATCAGGGCTTCTGGGTGCAAGTACTTGAGTCCGACCCGCGTCTCCAGATCTGGGAGGACCTGAGCCCAATCTTCGTCTTCACACCTGGATTCCCTGAGCCCAGACTTCCAGGTGCTGCGGCCGCTATAGGCCAGAAGGCACCGAAAAAACTCGGTGTCAATAGGTTCAACCTTCAGTTCCATTTCCCACAGACCAGTCCCGGCTGGGATTGCCACACGGTGCGGGTGTGTTTACTTGGGTGTGTGGTTAAGGTAAGTCTGCGAGACAGACACGCAGGGACCTGGCGTGTAGGTAGGCCTCTCAGACAGGGTGACAGCGAGCGGGTCCGCTCGGATGTTTCCAGGGATTAGCATCTGACTGGGTTCCAGGTGCACGCCCAGCAGGTGGCGACCCCTACGCTTCCCGGGGTCAGGACCATGGACAGCGCGTCCTGGATTTGCCTGGTCGAGGGAGGGTTTTCTGGGAAGCAAGAAAGCAGGGGAGGAAATCGTTTCAAGGTACAGGTAGCTGGTGATGTGTGTGTTTATTTATTTTTTTATTATTTTTTTTTAAAGCCTGAGATACGAAACACATTGTTTCTATCTGATTAAATGTAGGCTGGAAAGTGTGCTCTAACCCATGCGAGAAATACTTCACGGTCCGACTGCTGGTGCGCCTGCGTTTGCCCAGCACAGCAGCGCGGAGGGTAGGGGACCCAGGTTCCAGTTGGGGAGGCCAGGTCTCCTGGCTGCCCAGCGAAACCGCCAAAGGGGATTCACATGACCCGAATTCCCGCGCGTTTCCTCAAATCGTTTGGGAGAAATGTAGCGCTTCTATACAGAGGTTAGGTCAGACCAGGTCTCAAAATTCCGTGTACTTTGAGAGGACAAAGGGATAAGAGGCAAAAACTGTTGTGTGTGTTTTTAATGAAAGAGCTGACTATCGATTACCTACATGTTTTTATGCTTATTTATGTGTCACCCTGAAGATTATGGCCTGAAATCCTCTCCGGCCCCTTTCTCTCTAACACCCTGTCCTGTTTTCAATCTAAATTACCAGAGATTTGTGCACATGCTATTGTCCTTCCTTAAATACTCTTCTATACTGATTAGTATCTTTTCCATCTTCACTTTTTTAGAAAGAACTTCCCAAAACTTTCTAGATAAATCTTCATATTTCTCTTAGCACTATATACCTTTCTCATTGCAAATGTTGTGTTAATTTGCATGATGACTCAATTCCTCTGTCACTCTCACTAGAATATAATTTCCAAGAGATGTAGTGCTCAGTTTTGTTCGTCAATGAAACCCTAGTACACAGTGCCTAGTACACACAATAAATCTTTTTTTAAATAGATTTTTATTGCTTTCAGAAAGGGAGAGGGAGAGATAACAAATCAGTAATGAGAGAGAGTGTGGGTCTGATTTCCATAAAGGCCACAGGTGTGTTTATGTTTAGAGAAATTTGATTCTTAACTGATAAAAAGCAGAGACTAACCTATACCGTGCCATATTCTCAAAGTTCCAATCCATCGCTCTTGATATATCCTTTAATCCACTCATGACCCAATTCAGTGCCCATAAATTCGACATATTCCCTGACAGTGTTTCCTTTTATTTCCTCCTGGAGCAGTGGTTGGGGGGTGGGGTGGGGCAGAGGGCTCAAAAGTGGGAGCACTCCCCATGGTAAAAGAGAAAAAGTGGAAACGATAGCTGGCAACTTTTTAAAAAGTTTGTTCGATTTTAAATGGTCTTTCCAAAGTACCAACTAATCTACTTTTTAAAGTCAACAAGAGAATTGAAGTAAGGAGTTCTTAAAAGACTTTTTTCCAAGTCTCTGAAGACTCTGATTTTACTAACAGCCCACGTGGCCCTGGGAGGAAGCACCGTGAAAGATGACCTGCTTTTGGACGCTTCCTCTCCCAACGCGTCTTTTCCAGAGATTTCGATGTAAAAAGTGTTGGCTGGTATGTGACAAGTAGTTACCCACCACTTAATCCTAGAGAAGCAGACATACCTTTCTACCTAGGAGCTTGGGAGAAAGAGCTATATTACCAAGGAGCATGTTGGCCCCATGGTGTAATGGTTAGCACTCTGGACTCTGAATCCAGCGATCCGAGTTCAAATCTCGGTGGGACCTCATCTGCCTTTTGGTCCTTATTTGAATTCCACTTCCTCTCTGCAACCCATTCTCTTATTTGTACAAATCCCAGCACCCATGTTTATTTCTGATACTCCCACCTCGCACTTTCTGAGCACGGTGTCTGCGGTCACCTAGCCAAAGGACAACTTTACGCTTGCTGGGTACAACTTCTTTCGTGGGGGCTGGAGACGGGGTCTCAAAAGAAGAAAAGCGCAGAAAGCACCCAAGCTTTCTGGAACCGGAAATCTGTAGAGAAAACCCGTGAACGGTGGAGAGGGAAGGGAAGGCGGCAGGCGAACCGAGCGAGAGGAAGTTTATTGACAGTCGTAGACGGAGAAGAGTGGGGATGAGATTTTAGAAAAGGATTTACCTGGGCAATGCGCCCGAGAGAGTCGGCTGCGGTGGAGAGAAAATTGTTCCCAGACAAGCCTCGTTCAGAGATCCGAGTGGGTTGACCAACCAGCAGCGATGGTCAGCGGTCAGGGGACCTGCGGGTCCGGGTTTGCACAAGCTTTTTTGGTGCACGGAACGTCAATTCACAGACGCTGCTCCGACCTCCCCTCGTCTCCCCCGAGAGAGAACAAACTAGGGGCTTCGTTAGAATTAAACGATAACGTTTTATTCAAGGGTCTTAAGTGAACTGCAATTCTGGAAATGCTACCAAGAGATACCCAGAGTGTTTTGAAGGGGGAAAAAATGTTGAGCGTGTTTATAGTAAAACTAGAGGCCTGTTGCACGAATTCATGCACGGGTAGGGTCCCTCAGGGTAGCCTGCAGAGCTCGTACCCCTAGCCTCGCAGCCCCGCGGCCCCGCCTGGCACCGCCCCCCCTCACCTGCTCCTCCACCCCACCGGGATCTCCCTCCCTGGGGGCCCATAGGGCAGGCAGTGCCTCCACTGTTCCCGCTGCCAGCGCCCCACTTAAGAGGGTTGTCCACAAGATTTATGTCTGGGTGTTGATGCACAACTGGAAAGCTACAAAGTTCAAAGCCTCAGGTTGTTAAAAGTAGATGAAAATGATCTCATGTTGCAGCCCTTTTCTGATTTAAGTTGTTTTGTTAGCTTGAGTGTAGTCTCTCTATTCCTCCCCCTCACTTTTTCCTCGCCAGCAAGGGTGCCCAGAACTGTGTGCCTCCACTGAAGACCCCTGTGGGGTGACCGACTGAAGGAATAAAGGGGTATCTGAAAAATTCTGAAAGTACATGTTGGTTAACATAAGTATCTCCATACAAAGGGGATTATGGAGTATTCATAATATTTTTTTTTCTTGGATGTTGGTTACATTGATGTGTTCAGTGTGAGAAAATTCAGTGAGCCATACTCTAATGTTCAGGCCCTGACTATATATTATTCTTCAGCAGAAAGTTTAAAACACACGCACACAACAACAACAACAACAACAACAAAACAACAACTAAGCACTGTGATCATCCAAAGACAGCATTATTTGGGTGAAATACAAGTTTCTAAGTGGGAGAAAATATTGCAATACAAAGGCCTCACAGTGAGAAAAAAACACACAAAAGACCTTCCATAACTCAAAAAAAAAAAAAAAAAAAAAAAAAGACAAGTCAGAAGAAAATATGCAGAAGATGAGCTTCCCAGACAGAAGAAGATCTTTCATTGGTCAAGCATTTGCTCCTCATAACAACTCTAGGAAGAAACACAAGGACAAAAATTTGGAAAGAAACATCAAACAAGGGTCTGAATGTGTTTTTCCATATTTACCCAATGGTTCCACTTCTAAGCTTCAATCCTTGGGAAATACGGATGTAGATAAAGATTTTAATACAGATATGTATTAAATATGTATTCAGCATTATTAAGAAAAATATTTGGAATGTATAAACAAAGTATAATTGGTTTAAAGTAACCAATATATATGAGCTTAATGCATTCACTAACATTGACACAAAATAGGCATGAAGCATATGGTCCCTAAGTGTCCCCCATTCAATAAAATACATGGAATTTTCAGAATTATATTTGCGAAGAGTATTTGTTGTCATGAAAACAAGTGCATGAGTATAAGATTAAACAAAAAGTAATATACTAAAATATGTATGTGTAATATATACATATACATGTAAAATAAAGTTATTTTAACAAATCCTTTCTGGGTGCCTTCTATGGAAGGGTCAATGCCCATCCACCCAAGCTTAGTTTTTTCTCTTTTCACTTTTCATCATGTGAAACGGTAGGACATGACACACAAGTGTCACAGGTGGAGATGAGCTGGTCAGAAACCAGCAGGACAAGCAGACTCTCAATATGGTCCCAATTACCTCCTCCCATGGTCATGTGCCAGAAGCCAATCATTGTTTTAATAATAGAGAGTTGTGGACAGGGAATTCGGAGGGCTGGTCAACCTTAATTGCTCTAAAGCTAATTACTAGATATTGGTAGTTGAAGCAGCCCCCACCTGTTAGTCCTAAATTCACTGATTGGCTTTTTTTGGAGTCTGCCTACCCTAGGGGATATGGGTGTATCCTATAATTTTAATCTTAGTAAAAGGGACGGCAAAGCCAGAGCGAGTAGTAATCCTCCCACTAGAGTTGGACTACCACCTGACCCCCATTTCCAAAATTAAA